AGCATCGCCCCCTGCAGAGGCCACGTGGAGCCAAGAGCAAGGAGGGATCCAGGCCCATGAGCCGTGTCATTGACATTATAAAGTCTGGACAGACTATTTTGAATGTGTTGAAATAGCATCGCCCCCTGCAGAGGCCACGTGGAGCCAAGCGCCAGGAGGGATCCAGGCCCACGACCAATATATCATTGAATATTATAAAGTCTGGACAGACTAATGTGTTGAAAGCATCGCCCCCTGCAGAGGCCACGTGGAGCCAACAGCAAGGAGGGAGCCAGGCCCAGGACCCATATATCTGGACAGACTTTTGAATGTGTTGAAATAGCATCGCCCCCTGCACAGGGCCCTTGGAGCCAAGAGCAAGAGGGAGCCAGGCCCAGGACCCATATATCATTCTTATATTATAAAGTCTGGACAGACTTTTTAATGTGTTGAAATAGCATCACCCCCTGCAGAGGCCACGTGGAGCCAAGAGCAAGGAGGGAGCCAGGCCCAGGACCCATATATCATTGAATATTATAAAGTCTGGACAGACTTTTTTTGACGCCCCGCCCCGCACAGGTCATGAGCCAAGCGGCCTACGGACAACAACAACAACAACAACAGCTCCAGTGGCAGGACATGTGGTTGAAATATGGCAGACTTGTTTCGATCTGTGTTTTTATTGACATTTGCCCCTGCCCAGAGCCCAGAAGAGAACAGATGGGCCCATGTGCAGCAGCAAGTGCACGAGGACCCCATGCAAATTGAAGTCTGGACAGACTGTGATGTTTTTGAGAATGCTTCGGCCCCTGAACAGGCGATGAACTTGAATCCGCCGCCATGGCGACCTGACCCAGAGAAGGACCCTGTGTGATTCAAAGTGGACAGATTTTTGCATGTTGGTGACCCTGCCAGGACGGCGATGCAGCCAGTGCAGCTGCAGCACAGGATTGCTGTAGCCATGGTGTTGATGTCTGGACAGACAAGATTAATATGAGCTATCGGGTGTGAACAGTGTATATTCGCAGTGTCTGGACAGACAAGATATAATGAAGCTAATGCAAATGTTCATTGCAGGCTCCGGGCAAGGGAGACGGGAAGACGAAGACTTCCGGGCCCAAAGGAACGGAACAGGCGATCGAGTCTGAAGTGCAGTGTATAGTCATAATGTCTGGACAGACAAGATTAATATGAGCTAATGCAACTTTTCATTTCAGGACCCGGGCAAAGGAGGCGGGAAGTCCAAGACCAAAGGAACGGAGGAGGCGATCGAGTCTGAAGTGCAGTGTGTAGTCATAATGTCTGGACAGACAAGATTAATATGAGCTAATGCAACTTTTCTTTTCAGGACCCGGGCAAAGGAGGCGGGAAGTCCAAGACCAAAGGAACGGAGGAGGCGATCGAGTCTGAAGTGCAGTGTATAGTCATAATGTCTGGACAGACAAGATTAATATGAGCTAATGCAACTTTTCATTTCAGGACCCGGGCAAAGGAGGCGGGAAGCCCCAGACCAAAGGAACGGAGGAGGCGATCGAGTCTGAAGTGCAGTGTATAGTCATAATGTCTGGACAGACAAGATTAATATGAGCTAATGCACCTTTTCTTTTCAGGACCCGGGCAAGGGAGACGGGAAGTCGAAGACCAAAGGAACGGAACAGGCGATCGAGTCTGAAGTGCAGTGTATAGTCATAATGTCTGGACAGACAAGATTAGTATGTGGTAATGCAACTTTTCATTTCAGGACACGGGCAAAGGAGGCGGGAAGTCCAAGACCAAAGGAACGGAGGAGGCGATCGAGTCTGAAGTGCAGTGTATAGTCATAATGTCTGGACAGACAAGATTAATATGAGTTAATGCACCTTTTCTTTTCAGGACCCGGGCAAGGGAGGCGGGAAGTCGAAGACCAAAGGAAAGGAGGAGGCGATCGAGTCTGAAGTGCAGTGTATATAGTCATTAATGTCTGGACAGACAAGACAATTAATATAAGCTAATGCAAGTTTCATATCAGGATCCAGGCAAAGGAGACATGAGAAACGAGCCCACGAAAGACCAGACCCAGGCGAGGAACGGTGTCGTCTGTACGCTGATGAGTTCATAATCTTTCTGGGCAGGAACCTGGAAAAGGCGGCAAAGAAAAGGGAGAGAAGGGAGGAAAGGGCCAGGACGGGTGCAATAAGGTCATGATAATGTCTAGCCTATATTAATTATAAGCTAGTTCAATGTCTGGACAGACAGTGCAGTTCAATTTTTTGCCATGGGAGGC